GGCAGTAAAAGAGCCTCATGTTGCTGACCCCTGCACTAGGCCTTCTGGAAGTTCTAGATACATTATTGACAGTGAATATGACAGATGGCTTAACCAGATTTCATTAATGTTTTAGAAACGGAAAACAGTGGTGGCAGCTCTGTGCCACGGCTCAGACGACGCTGCTATGGGAATGTGAGAAGGTGATTAAAAGCACTTTCCACTTGAACCTGTTTAACTACATAAAATATCAATGTTGCAATTTACTCTGTGCTAGTTTGAGCCCTGCTCTCCCCCACACTGTGGTTTAGCACAGTCAGGATATGTGGATATGTGGAGCGATGTTTGCTCAGGGATAGCTGGAGCACACATCAAATAGCTGACGTGCCTCGCGGTGCAAAGACCCGAGACCTTCTGAGAGCTCAAGGGTATCTGTACGGCTGTTATGGCCGTATCCTGGATACACACATACACGCCGTGGTTGAGCTCATGTGTTCTATGGCCCAAGATTGTGTTCAGTGCAGGCCAGGTGTTCGCCCAGGGACCAATAGTGACCGACCTTCTACTGTCTTACTACTGTCTACTACTAATGTCTCTATGTGTGCCATGACTCACCATAGTTTGATAATACAAGAAATACAATAACCCACATTACCACACAGCAAGTAAAGTATCATGCAAAAGTCAGAGATCACCTGTCATTTATTTAATATCCAGTCAAAACAACACATTCAGTGGGCTCCGGAGTGGTCAGTCCATTGAGAACACCAGCAGCTTCTTTGTTTGATGTGTCCGTCTCCTTTCCTCAGTGAGGTTCTTCTTGACAGCTACACATCCTTTCAGACCCATAGCGCTGAGTCGTCTTCTCACAGTGGAAGGATGGATGTGGATGTTTCGGATCTGAAGAAGCTTGATTTTCTCCTCTCTCTCAGAGATGAAAGAACAAAACTTGTACTTTTCCTGTTAAGCTGAAGGTCATTTTTGTATGAGGGGCCCACTAATATTTATGACACTGGGGTCCATTAGGTCCTAGTTACACTGAGCGTGTATTATCTAAGTGCTTCCTGTGTAACTCCCTTATTTTACCAATATCAGCTGGCTGTGAACCGCAGCCTTATGAAACTACTCCACCTGGCTCACTCCATACATTCAGAATGAGTGGCCTACAGTGTTTGAATGGCATGTTGTTAGCCCTGCTTTACCTGAAGTGTAACCAGGGCCTTGGCATTCATCTCATCCTCATCAGCTGCTCTTTCTGGCGATGGATCATTAACAGCCATCACTCTTGATTATGCTAACTGGTGGGGTATTAGCTTCCATTACTTGCTAACTACATTAGCCTCGTAGCTACAATGCAAAACTGAAAAAAAGCTGTCTTTGGACACCAAACATGTCTTAGCTGAACAGATATATTTGGGGAAGAAGGAATCAGATTATTTGCTCTTCTTTTTGCTATTGGTTTAGAGGGGGGTTCCATCAATTTTCCAATATTTTCTCTATAATTTAATGTTTGAGACGTACGCAAAGTAGTCTGAGGTGAAATGATACATTGTAGAGAAACATACCCATCTTTTACAGTGGAGGTGATAAGAAGCAGGGGTCACCATGCCTACAACACAAGAGACCCCATATGTGTCTTTTGAGTTTTTATATGCAATGTTGATGGTAAAATAGTGATAAATCTGAAAAAAACTAGTGTTCTTTGGCTTTACAGTGCCCTGCATGTACCTCCATGCCATGAATATGTTTTAAAACATCAGGCAGTGTATTAATAACCAATTAGCAGCTGTAGTTAGTGGAATTTCCTTTAAATGGATTAGACAACAGGCCCAAATATAAATTCAACACTACAGAAATGGACATAATCTACAAGTACAATGGAGGACTCATTGTATTAGCTGAATTAGAGCACAGTAAAGAGCCTGCACACTTTGAGGCCTCAATAACAGCTTGTGTTCTTGTGCTATTGTCCATAGATAAACGGCCATCCATTCGGTGACGCAACGAGATATTCAGGTTTGTTTCCGTCAGTGGTGGCCAGGTGGCCATGCAAAGCCAGGTAAACCAAGATCTTCAGCGCACAGCACTACCTGTTACCGTGGCCAGCCTCCACTGCAACGACCACAGATCATTTACCAGTCAAACTAGCCCTGAGCACACGCCCAAATACCGAGCCTCACCCACTCACCTGTCGTAGATAACAAAGAGCAAGACAATAGTGAATGAAGTTAAAAATGTCAGGTTTAATTACACTGATAGCAACAGCTAGCACACGGTATGCCTGTCTAGCAACCGCTGTTGTAAAGCAAAGGTCCTCTCACTGCAGTGTGAGTGTGCAATGAATAGAAATGCCATGTATTACATTGATCTCTATGGGTGTTCTATGTCATTCATACTTGTGACAGTAATACTTGGTATTTTAATAAAGACAGAATTGAAAAATAACACCTCGAGCATAACATCCATGACAAAGACGCTCTGAACAACGGACTGCGGAAGCACAACCAACTTCTAAGACTGAACTTTGGAGGTGTGGAAAAATATCCCTGCAGATTTCTTTGAAAAACTGAAAGCAAGCCTCATGAAAAGAGTGGAAACTAATAAAAAAAATGATGTTATATTTAGTTGTTGAGGCTGCTGTGTGTTTTTCTGTTAAAAATATGTTTACCGTGTTTTCCTGGCACTTAAAAAATGAATAACGTCCAGTTTTGACTGGAAATTACATAATGAGGTGTGCACACCATCGCATATAGGTTGTTTTTTATTAATAATAATGATAACGTTGCTGTTTCTGAACCCTATATTTCACTTCATGTCATATACCCCCCCCTATTACCTTATTGCTTCATGTGAGCGGGCAGGTATCCAAGCATTTCACTGCTAGTTGTACCGTGTATGAATATGTATGTGACAAATAAAACTTTAATAAGTAAATAATATGCTCAAGGCTAGGCGCTTTCAAATGTACTTTACTTGAAACTACTGTGCAAATAACTAAGGTGGCCTTAACTCCTAAACTTGTTTAGTAAACAAAGCTAAATGAGTTTGCATATTAGACAAAAATGTGGTTCTGCGTTATTTCATTCTCACGATCTGAGCTGTGGAAAGCTGTTTTGAGCCCTTCTATGTACCTACATCTGTGACACACCTACAGACCCCTGTGCTCCAACACAGGGTGTGGTCTTTAACTGCTGGGAAAAACGGCCCTCACATCCCAGCAATACGACAGCACAACTGTCAACACAGCTCAAACTGCCTCCGGACACAACGTTAACAAGGTCATCTTAACCCTGCAGACAGCAGAGATGGTACAGAGCAGCCTTCAGAAACAGGTGGTTCCTCCACTCTCCAGCAGTAATTACCATTCTACACATTCCAACAGGGTTCTCTAAATCACGTTTAAGAGGCGGCACCCTCGAGAGCCCAAAAGAGCAGAGAGTAAAGTTCAGTGTCTGACCTTTAAAAACTACTAGACTTAAGAGCATTTATGTCAAAGGGAACACAACGGCACCGCTTCAGTATTATTATTCACACTCGTATCACCTTTTTTTTCACAATATCTATATTAAGCTCTTCTTTAAAAACTACTAAGCTTTAAAATTAACTAATTTTCAGTGAAGCACTTAAAGGGACTCTGTAGCCAAAATAAAACATTTAACTATCACTAAGCCTCTTATAAACATGCTGACTCTCATCCTACAGCGGTGCTGCAATATTCTCTTTAAAAACTAGGAAAACCCCCTTCTGATGATGTACCTTGAAGGTGGGAGGAGCTAGTAAATATTAGTAAAAATATTAGTAAAATATTACTTGTTTGGGGTGGATTTTTGTAGGCAAACTTTTAGAAATGTTTGTTTTTGCAATGCAATATGAAGGCAGGTGGCTAAAGTTACTGTAGTAATGTCTTCAGGTCATCATATTAATGGAAAGAATAGACAGAAATTACTCATCAGAGGACAATAAGCTAAAATAAGCTTGTTAAGAGGTCAGCAAGGCAGCTTGTTATCTAGATATCCTACTGGAAGAGAAGTGTGGCTTCTTTTCTCTGGCTAAAGGATAAATAAGCTTGTTTGTGTCCATTTTGTGCTGAATAAAGATAAAATTGCTGCTTTCTTTACAAATTTGTTTGGCAACCATGGTAAGAGTTACTCAGGACAGGAGTTCTGAGTTGTTAGACTGAATGTTGATGATGGTAAAATAGTCATAAATCTGAAAAAATAAGGTTTCTTTGGGGACTATTTTGCCTTATCACACCCTGCATGTACCACTCCACCAAGGAATGTTCTCAGGCCAAACCTCCTCATTTCTACTGTAAAACAAACATCAGACGATGTATTTGTTACTATTTCATGTAATAACTCTCACCACTGTGAACAATTCCGACTTCGTAAGTTTCTCTTAAATGAAGCATTTCACAACAAACCACTCCGAATGACTTTGTTTACATTTTAACAATCTAATTAAGCAGAATTGTTTAAGAATTGGAGGAATTTCCCTTTGAAGGCACAGTAACAAAAACAGCCTTTTGAAGAAATTAATAGTAGTTGGAAAACAGTCATGTAGACACAAATGACTGTATCTGATCTTATGATGTTAAATAATTCAGAACCTTCTCAAAATATTAGAGAACTATTAGACATTTAGACCTGAGAGATCTGAGAAAATTTCACTTGCGATCACCTTCTGCAGTGCATATATCTTCAAAGAAGTAACGCCCCCATTATGTCACATGATCACGTTACGTCCAGCATTTACAGGGTTAACTGTAGCGTTTCAACATGGCAGGAAAAAAATTGGGGAGAGAGAGTGCGAGAGAGAGAGAGAGAGAGAGAGAGAGAGAAGGGGTGGTGAGAGACACCGAGAGCGTGCAGCAGACACACATGGAGAGAGAAAGCGGGCAGCACTGAGAGAGGCTGACCAGCACAAGATGGAAGACAAACCGCTCTGCTGTTCCTCAGCCTGACCGAGTCTGCCAATCACAACTCCACTCAACTTCTCCTGAGCTTATTTCTCTGCCTTACCTTCGCAGAACTGCCTCCTCCGCTGCCTCCATCTCCACACGGCTATCAGCGTCACTATGTGGCCCAGGACCACCAGGGTGGGGAAGACGTTTCCAGGGGGGCCTGCCGGCATTGGGCCTGCGAGCGAGTGTGCGCCGGTGAGCAAGGAGCAGCGGAACGAGGGGGTGAAAGGTGAGGGGGGGAGGAGGAGAGACGGGGTAGGGGGGTGTGCAGAGAGAGGGGTGTGGTGCCGGACTTTAAACGTCCCCAGGCGCTCGAGCACGCTAACCCTCTCCTGACCAAGCGACAGAAGAAGAGCTGCCCCCTCCTTTCTATCTTTCTCCTCTCTCTCCCTCTCTCGCTCTCTCTGTCTTGCTCTGTGACTCAGTCCTCTGTGCAAAAGCGCTCGAGTTTCCTCCCCTCCTTTTCCTCTTCTCTCCTTTCACAACCGCTGCGTTCTGTCTGGCTTTAGTCCCCTCTGCTCAGGACTCTCTCGCACTCTCTCCCTCTCTCTCTCTCTCCCTCTGTTTTTCTTTTCCTCAGGCTGTTTTAGAGTACACAGGACAGGGCAGGAGATTCTACATCCATTCAGCGAGGCTTTTCCTCGTTCTCTCACAAGTTCTTCCAGTCTGGCTCAAGTTAATAATACGTGAGAGGGCTTTTTCTCGTCCTAGCTCACCCACACTGGCACAGGCTCACATAAACAGGCTTGCCTTTCGCTCAGATAAGAGTCTAAAACTACAGCACAATGCGGTTTACTTTCCTTTTCCTTTTCCTTTCTTAGCCAACAGCGGTGCCCACACCAAAAGTCAACCTGAACAAAAGACACACCATTTGGTTTGGGGTGTTTACACTATTCTCCAACCTTTACTCATTTTACTCTCTTCAAACTCACTTCTTTTCCTCTCCCTCTCATTCGCCTGTTAGATAACTGCAGCGCTTTCCCCATAGCTAATGCTTTCCCTGTGCTCCACACACAGTGGAGGAGCCTAAAAAGAACCAGCTGTTGTTTTATTACTGACCGAGACCTAAAGCCAAAATGCCGGCTGGACCTTTCCCTCGACATGTGTCGCAGCAAAGGAGAAATTCCTGTCCTGTAAATTCCTGAGACTGGGAGGGCGGATACAGTTACAGTCGTTTTTCAACAATATCACGTTCCAGTTTTCCAGTATACACTTTTCCACGTTTCAAGAACGGAATATGATCGAAGCAGAGAGTTTCGACCAAACTCGGCACACAGGGGGAGAAGGTGGAGCGCACGGCAGTGAGTTTTGCCCTCTGTTGGATCACTATTTGCTGAACGGAGAGAGAAAGCCCTTGACACTATCGTCACTCCTGTCGCCGTGTAAACAAGCCCTCCCACCGTCATAAAGCACTCAAATACCCTCCCTCAGTACACACAAACACACGGACATGTTTGTTTTTATAACCTTGTCAGGACAAGGAGTCATGTATGTTCCTTACATAACTGAAGGTACCTATATGTAATAATAATATGCCTCATATGTATTATGTACAGTTGAGGACCCCTGGTCAAACTGTAAAAAAATCGCAACAGGGATCACAATTTTGTATTATATATATATATATATATATATATACATACATACATACATACATACATACATATATATGTTTAGTGCACAATTTCTATTTACAGGTTCAATAAATCAGAAAAAATTAAATATTACAAAAAAAAAAAAATGTGCCGTAACTTTTGCAGAGGCCACATTTTATCACATAACACATTGAACATAACCAATATACAGCCAATTAATTAATTAATTATTCTTATGAAACCAAAACGTTAAATTCAGCAAGTAACCAATAATTGTGCATTAAAAGGTTCTTTAAAAGTTACCTGGTATTTATTTTTTACTTAGAACATCTACAAAATATGCAGTTTACCCAGGGGTACCCAAACTTTTGCACAAGACTAGATACATGAGTATGCAGGTTTATTTATCTATTTATTTATTTATTTTACAGAATTTGAGATTGCCAACTTTCTCTTATTGTTGTTACATTTTTATATTGCATTATATACATGTAAATACATATATATAATAACAATTTGTTTCACATACACTACATAAATAAAAGTGCCTAAACTGCCTATATTAATATTAATAATAATAATAATAATAATAATAATAATAATCATATGTCCTATATAAGTAATATCACTTACAGCTCAGTTGGAACCTCCTTTTCTTATGCAGCTTCCAAACCAGAGAATATTCAATATTACACATTATACATTATATATTACATATTACATGTATTGCTAGGCTCGAGAGGCAAGCTCAATAAAAACATTTGTTCAAGCTGTTTTATGCGTATTGTGTCTCATTTTGTTCTACTGTTTGTCTCTCCGATATTTTTTGTCTAAAGCACTTTGAGATTTTGTAAATGAATTGTAAAGCTTGGCAAAATATTTATTATCATATATTATATAGATATTTACATACATAATACATAATAATAATCATATGTATTTTTATGTGATCAGATTTTTTTAGGCTAAACCTAAGCTCTAGTTTAATGTCATTAAGCAAATGGATTTTTTCTTCTTTCATTCTAAAAAAAAAAAATGAAACATTTAATAAAATTTGGACCTGTTGATGCTCCTGACATGGTAGATTACCCCCTGTTTTTTTCAGGTTTTACTTCGAAAAGGCATTTCTGTCCTGATAATATATGAAAACCAGCACACACACACACACACACACACACACACACACACACACACACAGAGGCCATGTGAGCAAGAATAAAAGTATTGCTTTCCAGATAAACCTAATTACTGCACTTATTACTGCCTTTGATCTTTGTGTAATAGACAAGACAACTCCTGTTCTGTTTTATCTCAACACCAGTTACTCGACTATAAGTGAATACTGCGTGTACTGACACAGCCCGAGCAGACAGCAGGAAGAAACCCAACGCCGCTCACCCTGTCACCTACATAGCCCCGGGGAGGGGCAGCGGCGACTGTCACGAATAAAGCCGCCGCAAATAGACGACACATTATACGGGATCCGTGCCCGGAGTGGCAGAGAGCTACGGAAGGGTTTATAAGTAGAAAGGAATCCAGGCCAGGTATGCAGGTATGCACCCGACCTGTGACACCAGCACGTCTTAAAATCACACACCCACAGCAAACGACCTACCAGGTATGATCTTCATTCAGAGGACACTGAGAAGATAAGCAGCAGGATTATGGAGCAGGAGGGCAGACAGGCAGACAGACAGACAGACAGACAAAAGACTGAACAACAGAGCTCCAAAGACAAAAGCAGAGTGGTCAAGAATAAGACTGCAGGTCGACCTTATATGATCTGACCCATGCCAGTCTTTTCTGGTCAGCCTACTTGCTCCTTTGTGCCTGAGCTGCTGGTCATAGCTCCACATTGGAAGCTGGTGATGGACAAAACCATTATGGCGTCCTCTAGAGGCCAGTCTGTTCAGCCCACTTTCTTTAGGGCCTAATTGGGTGGGGTTCAGTTTCATCTTCCTCCTTTCGTAAGGCATGGCACATGGCATAGACTATAATGGTGGCAGAGGCCACAAAGGAAACATGCCATAGCAACAAGGCAATAGTAGCAATAAAGACAGCTGAGGAAGTTTCAGAATACTTACCCAACTGAGCAGACTGTGTCCTCGCCTCACTGTCTGAAATAAGTGAGTTTCGAATAAGTGACACCAAATTTTGACCGTAGATGTCTTTATAAAAAGTAACTAGTCAGTCATGGCAATCTGGCAACCAGTGTTTGGGGTGGCAAAGCCATAAACTATAATGTGCAGTACTGTGCACAATCAGATTTAGTTCATTTAAAGCCCAAACAGCCAATAAGCACAAGTTATTCATTTTTCAGTGTGAAGAAAAGGGCAGGAAACATATTTAATAGAAAGTTAACTGAATTTAAAACTTTTCGGTATTCAGAGTGTCCACTCCATTCCAGTTTCCGTTCTTTTCAGGAGACCCACTTTCAGTTTCTCAAAGAAGTCTGGAGACACACCTCCAAAGTTCAGTCTGAGAAGTTGGTTGACCATTTTATGAAGTAATCAAACACAGTCAGTGGTGTTGAGGTCTGGACTCTGGGGTGGTCAGTCCATTGTTCTTTGTTTGATGTGTCCGTCTCCTTTTCTCAGTGAGGTTCTTCTTGACAGCTACACATCCTTTCAGACCCATAGCGCTGAGTCGTCTTCTCACAGTGGAAGGATGGATAGAAACATCTGTGGATGTTTTCAGATCTGAAGCAGCTTGATTTTCTCCTCTCTCTCAGAGATGAAAGCTTTAAGTTCTGTTTATCTGATGGGGACAGTTTGGGTGTCTACCAGGTCTTCCAGGTGGTTGTTAGGAGTTTCATTTTCTCTGTAGCTTTTCATCATTTTTTAAACTTCTGCTTTGGAAAGTTCATTTTTTTCCCCACTTACTTTGTTATGACTTACTCCTTCCTTATGCAACTGGATTATTTTAGATCTAATCTCTTTAGAAATATCTCCTGAAGAATTACTTGTGCTTAAAGGCTGTTTTGACAGGAAATTAAATAGAATAAAGAGTCGTCTCTGACTTTTGCACAGTATTTTACATCATACTAGGGCTGCACAGTACGGACAAACCTGCATATTGAGATTATGTTGCCACATACTGAGATATGGCTTGCATAATATTAAAACATCTTGAAAAAAGTTTAAGGATTGGCCTGCATCATTTAGTTTAAAATCATTTTCTGATTTATGCATTAAAACACAACAAAAAATCAGCTGGAACGTCGTTCATGATGCTCACAGCCCAAAATTCAATTGTGGTTTATTAAAATGAGCTTATTGCAGCCCTCTTTGATATCAGTATTTCAAAAGTCAAAGCCAAAAGCGGTTAACAAGCAATATACTGTGCAGCCCTGTGTCAGTAAACGACTACAGTAAATGGGAAGGCACCTCAAGCACAGTCCAAGTCTACACCCAACTCTCTTCAGCACAAACCACAAGGTTAAAAAAAAAGGGGGCACCTCCCACCTACCATTCAGAAGCGGACGGCGACGGCGACGGCAACAGCAACAGCAGAGGCTCATGGCGGTGCCCAGCGGCCTTACGATCCCTTTCAGACGCAAAACTGACAGCCACTGACAATCTAGCACTTCTGACCTCAAGACAGTGTGTGCTGATCAAAACCAGAGGGGCGTACAGCAGACTAAGCTTCAGAAAAAAGAGAAATGCTGGAAGGAAATTGGGAGGGAGAGTGAGCCGCGAGTTTTACTCACTCCACATGGTTTTCCATTGTGGAAACTGGTGGTTATGATTGGGGGGGTTGTGGTTTGGGATGGGCTTCATCATACTCTTAACTGTATAAATGCAGTTATTTTCTTCCACATTGGGGAAAAAAGTATGGAAGAAACTGTACAACAAAGATCTCATTGTGTGCAGCCTCTGAATCCACAGCAATGAGCAGCACACAACTTAGAAAAGAACTGCAGCCCTCAATTAGAGGGTCAAAACGCTCCCTCGGAGAAGTCTAAGGGGGCCTGTGAAATATTTTAAGCTTTTACAATGTTTGGTTCTGGCTTGGGAATTATACAGGAAGCTGAAAAATTCCCAAACATCGTTCACACGTTATTTAAGTCAAAGGCGGACAGATGCAGATGCCAATGCCATTACTCAAAATGCTCGTGGACAGCTTCTCACGTACAGCCTGGATTGACGGGATCCACATTGTTTTGGGGGTGTGTATTTGGAGACTCCTTCTGCAGGCCACCTGGTGGTCATTCTGGATGGAAACTGTTCTTACACCTCCATATAACTCTATATAGGACACTGTTGGCTCTCTGTGTCGAGCTGCTAGCGAGCAATGAGGATAAGGGAGGGTGAGAACCTCCTGTTTGGAAAACCCTTCTCCACGAAGATGGCCGTGTAGAGATAAATGGACAGCAGCTTTTTTGATATCAACAAATCGTGTAGAGCTGCCACAATTAAAAACAGCATTTAAACACAACTAAAACACTGACTTGCTTGCTTACCTACGATATCTCATCAACGTCACTGAACAAAAAATGCATGGTTCAACTGAAGGAGGTCCAAAACAGGTGGATATGCATGTAAAAGCTGAGTAAATCACTAACAATCTTCATTTGCAGTAAGTTCAATGTACAAAATGAACACGATGCTCTTCTAATCACACTGAATGAAATCATACCAAACAAACAAGCACAATATTCAGACGTTCAATAGTCAATAAAGCTCTTTCCAGGAGAATGAATGCGGTCTCTTTGAACATGTGTGAAGATTAGGACCTCATACAGTTCCCTTTTGATCTTCGGTATAGATATCAAATGATGCCTACCTTGGCCCTGTTGGATCAAATCCTCCATGAAGAATCTACCATCATCAGCCTCCATCACTTCTAGCCTAATCTGCAAACCACACAAACTCTGAGGAGACTGAGGAGAGAACTGAGTGCCTGACGTGTCTTTCGGACTGCTAACCTTTATTTCCTACAGCGCCTGCTAAAGCTGGGAATAAGGAACATTGGCAAGATCAAGGGTGGCAACGTCTACATGTGACCATCAGGACTACCGGAGCGCGCCGATTTCTGCCCCTTCGAGCAAGCGTGAGAGCGAGAGTGAGTGAGTAAGAGGGGGGGGAGAAAAAGAGAAGGAGCAAGGAAGGGAAAAAGTAAATGGAGGCTAATTGGACTCAGATCTCTCCGCTTCTGCTTAGTCATTTATCAGCCTGGGAATGGAAACTTCTGGAGCGGCACATGAATGAGTTTAAAAGCAGTCTGCAGCACTCCATCCGCCCACATCACTGACTCATTACGGCCACACAATATTTGACCCATGGGGCGTCCACCTCAGTTTCTGTCTCCACACATTTTTGCTACTTTTTATTGAAATCTATGGCCAGCAGGTGGCAACGTAAAGACGCAAGAAATTTCTCATGCACAACGGACGATGGGGGGGGGGTTAGTTCACCCACTGCCAAGGTCTGTACACTCACTGTTGATTCATGTTGACCTTTTATATCCTGTTCAGTGGTGGTCCAGCCCTTGCTTTGATTTCTCTGGAGCTCTGATGAGATCAAACTGCACACACAAGTGTTTCAGTAGCTACTAAAAAGTTTTGAGGAAAACGTATCTGGGAAACTGAAGGGGAAAAAACAGACCATTCACTTGCATTTACACCAAAGTTTGGCTGCAAATGAACCAGATGGTACATTACATATGATGTGTTTGGAGATCTTGAAGATGGAGTTGTCACCATTCTGAACTCTTGCCTCCTGAGACTTTACATCCTCATATGAGGACATCATTTTGGCTACCCTGCGCCCTACACTCTTAGCAAAACGGGCTCTTTGGCTCGCAACAATAGTGGAACCCTTTTTGGTGCTATCTACAGCACATTCTAAATCAATCTGAAGAACCCTTTCACAATGCAAAGAACCCTTTCATCATACAAAGGGTTTTCTGAGTATATACGGTTCCATATAGAACCATTTTCTTTACTAAAGAACCCTTGAAGAACGCTCTTTTTTAAAGAGTGTATACACAGGAGTGATGGTAGGTATGTCGGCCCCCCCTGAATACCTTATGCATGAGCCCCTTGCTTCACCTCATTTCTCCTAGCAGAATCTGCCAACATTAAAACATGCTAATTTTTTATAACCTTACTATTTATTTTGTCATAGCTTTAAACTCTTATTCAGCATGCAGGAAGCTGTGAATATGAATATAAGCAACATGACTGCATATCAATGTATTGCATTCAACTGCTTCTCAAAAGTTCTGCATTTTGGCTGTCAAAGCAAAACTCAGTGTTTCCCACATATAGGTCATACTCTGGCAGTGTGCCAATGTATATGGACACCCAAAGCTTGCGGCGTGCACTGGATCTAAAATTAGTCTTTAATTCAAGTTGCAAAAAGGTACAATCTTTGTGGGCCTGTCTATTTGGGAGCCCCACTTGCCTTATAGGAGAAGCACAAAAACAGACACTGTACAAAAAAAAAAATCAATTTTTTAAAACGTACAAAAAAACTTTCAATTTTTTTTTAACATTTTATCAACGTATTTTGGCCTCATGCATTGCTATGATGATTTTAGGGAAAACAATAAACATGTAGTACTTGTACAAGGACTGTAAGGCAATGTTCATGTAGTATATGCGTAATAATAACCTGACAAACCAATAGTAGCATAGTAACCTACATAATTTGAATCACACATCAGACTCCTTATTCAGCCTCTTGATGTACTGTAGTTTATACCATTTTGCTTAAAATTATTTTTACACTGTGTATAAGCTGTAGGAAATGTGTTCCTGTCCTTGCAAAGTGATTGTAACTGCAGTATTTCCAACTGGAGAAAAGCAGACACTATCCCAGCCTTTCCAATTAACAAAGAATTTCCTATCTATCTGTCTATTGCTTAGATGTGTGGGTGTCTGAGAGACAAAGAGAATCTAACAGAGTGAGAGAGTGAGCAAAAGAGTCTTTGAGAGTGAGAGACTATAACAGCTGCAGCAGTGTGCATTTATAAATATTTGCAGCATATATACGCCTGCAGTAAACCATAGGAGCCTGAAGCCTAACAAGAGGAGGCCACACTCCATCTTCTCCAAGTCTGAGCTCAGAGCAGAGGAGGCCTTGAACAGCCTGGCTAATTTTGTATACAGTATTCCTATTAAAGGAATGTGTAGGTCTGAATGGTTTAATCCTGGTTTGGGCTGTTTGTTTTTACTGTATGGGTGAAGTTTATTTTCCATTTAATGCTGCTTTTGTGCACCATCATGTGAAACCACATTAAACACAAGGGGACCTTGCAATGTTTCCCTTTCCTTTAGTGTGGTATGTAATGGTCTGCAAAGTAACAAAGCCCAACGTTCACACCAGAGGGAAAAACTCTCTCCCACAGAAACCATTTTTCTCAGCCTCGTTGGAATTCCAGGCTTTTCCTTTGTTACAAGACGACACAATCTCATACAGTCCTTAATGCCCGCCTGCCGACAAGCTTGGCACGCCCTCACACAATGCTCAGCAACTACTGGAGGAAAGAAGGGGTTCGTTCAGTTTTGTGGCCGCGTGGAGAAGACGCTGACCTGACTTTCAGAATCGACTCTGGGGCAAACTGATATGGCAGAACCGTCGCCGCTGGAAAAACAGCCACAGCAGAGTTTACAGCTGCTCAGGAGAGAAGAGTCTGTCTGCAGACTGTAAGACAGGGGCGGAATGTGTATGGGTGGAATCACTCTGGCATTTCACCAATCAGAACAGAGTGGGCGAGCTGACAAATCAGCACACGCTGGGCTGATTGGGAGGTGGGGCTTAAAGACAGAGGAGCTCTAACAGAGAGTTTCAGACAGAGGGTGAATAGAGATGTTCAGTTTGAGAAAAATGTGTTTTTGGAACAGGTAAATCTACTCTAGAAGACCCCAAAAACTAAAATTATGAAGATTGAAAACGAGCATAATAGGTCCCCTTTAAAAATGATTACCCGCACTCAGTGCCAAACTGTGACTACCAGACCTGGGCATTCAGTTTGGGTCATAAATATCAAAACTTTCCTCATCAAAAAAATGAGGAAAGGAAGCATTTCTACAACAATTTCTGATAGCGTCCCTGTGTAATTCAAGTAGTAGATCAGTGCTAAGCTAATGCTGATTCACATAAATATTCTTTGGCTGTTATAGACTAAACACAAAAATTTGAAGCTTGTAACAGACACTGCTTGTTGTATTTGAAGCTTGTAGCAGACACTGCTTGTTGTATTTGAAGCTTGTAGCAGACATTAACACATATTTGAGCTTTTGTGTAGCAGTTGTACAGTCACTCTTTCAGAAAAAAATTCTGGCCTAGAGCTGCTGCCACTGTTTTCCATTCCTAACAAACTTATTTTCAAAATGAGGCTGAATTTAGTGTCAGTTCCAAATTATGTTAGTGGTTAATCTGACACATTAGGTCTTCAGTCCAGCTCCTGAAGTCCTAACCAATAGGAGAGCTCACTGCAATTACTTGGATACCATGCAGAAAAAAAAAGATGGATAATTGTGAAAGGGTTAAATTCTTGAACTGGCAATGGAAAATTTTTAGACATTTGTAGAAATCACTAGGTTTCTCTGAAGGCCTAGAAGGCCCTGACGATTCCCCTCTGCCCACACTAACGTAGGACTAGCACTACCATCATTACCACATACGCCTCTCAAACAAAACCCCACCAAAATCTAGTAAAATATGAAGTGCATTAAAGGGGAGCAAGAAGAAACGTAAAACACACCTTCACCGAAGTCTGGCCAAGTATTCTTGGCCTCATCCTTATACTCCTCTTTGCTGAAGGCCCAATCACCTGGGGAGGAAGAGCTTTTCAAGGTGGTCATCTGGCGCACTGATCGCTCCCTCTCCAGTTGTTCACTTGGATCCAATGAAGAGTTAGCCTTAATAGGCTCCATGTGTACTTCACGTAAGATCCTTGCTTCAGCAACCTGCTCTGCAGGTAGTTTGCTGTCAGAAATGTCCTGTAGAAGTTCTTGGGTTGTAACGTCAGTTTTGAAGTCGAGAGAGATCTTGATTAGATCTTTGTCCAAAGTCTCACTTTCAGGTGTTTTCAGGGTTACATTGGCAAGCTCTGGAGTGCATTTCATAGGGACCTGTCCAAAGTGGGTCTCAGGGACAACCTTATCAGTAGGGACATCACCTGTAATCACATCATCCAAAGCTTCAGTCTCTACAACTAGTCCCTCCTTAGGAATCATTTTAGTCTCCAACTGCTGCCCTGCCAAAGGTAGTAGATGATGAGGTACTGTTTCTTTCAACTCTTCGGTCATTTCTAAGACCACTGCCTTCTTGTCCCCCAAACCTGTTAATAATTCATCTGGTGGTACCATTGGTGACTTAGCTTTTGATGGTAGAGAAGTAGTTAAGGGTGGTGAGGGCCTAACTGTAGGAAGAGGCTTCACTTTTGGTGGTGGTTTTGATGCAACACTCTCTTGATCCATAGCCATAGCAGATGGACTAGGTCTGGCAATCCTCTCAAATACAGCAGATCTCAGGCCTCTTGCCTGGTCATCCTCAACTTCAGGATCCTCTCTTTGGAAGGCCCCATGTGTTGGGCTTGAAGCTCTGTAGCCTCCCCTGAACTTGACTGACCTCTCTCTTTGGACCTCCTCTGCTTGGGCCGTCTTGCGGCGGTAGCTTCGTTGGTCCATCAGTGCCTCTTGACTTTTTCGTTCATCCTGAGGCCTAGAAACATAACAGGATGGGCTTTGCACAGCTAAAACATTACTCATGGATGCAGGTGTGCATGTCCTGTGTACGGATGATGGCACAATCTCTGGTGGCAGATGTAGGAAATTACGCAAGTAGACAATGCCTGTATTGGTCAGGTACCAATAGCAGTGCCTCCAGGCAAAGGTCTCCTTCACAAAGCCTTTAGGCTTCAGGGAACGCATGGCCTGAATCACCTTCAGGTTGGACACCCCTGGAACCTCAGGGTGCAGGCGCTGGGGGCGCTTGTCCTTCTCGGCCACCAAAACGCCATCTCGGAAAAGCCGCTCATAAATTGCCCGTAATTCCGTAAGTGGCATGACCATTCCAGCCACCATATTGACTGCTTAATTAGTTTAGCCCGGAGGAAAACAACAATGCAGATGACGTCACCTCTAATGACAGACCTGGACGCCCTGCTTTCAACAGCTTCTCAAAATGCACCAATAGAGTCTTGGCATTGTCCTTGTTTCCTGATCTTCTGTTTTTTTTCACCGTTTTGGCAAGAAAAATTTCCAAACAGGACCCACCAACAATAGCATAAAGAAAAAGCTTCCCAGTGTGTCAATTTCCTCTGGCAGTCAGAAAGCACTGCACTGCTGTGTCCTGCCTGAGTCAGTGAGAAAGTACAGCAACGCACGCAACCCCTCCTACCTTTCAGGGGAAGAAACAATCTAAACGAATGAGAGGCAACAGAGAGGCAGCGGTGGAGGGGATGAGTGTGCTATATATACTATGAATACAGCATATTCTCATTTGTCATGAAGACAAATTTAAAAGCATCTATGTATATCAGCCATGACCAGTACCTAGATGGTGAGATGGGGGGTTTTGATGATGATACAGCTACTCAGACCTATTCAGGAGAAAGCCTCGCTACTTTTAACACTTTCACATCATCATCATGTCTCCCATGACTCCCGTTACCAAAAGGGAGTGCCCTCAGTGCCGTACCAAAGCGTCTTATTTCAAATCTCTTTCTGTACCATAAACAATGCATGCTACTTAAAGACACTGACAGCAGAATGTTGAAAGCAAGTTGGTCCTTAAGGTGACCTGGAATAGCTATAGACTTTGATATTCATCTGCATCAAGTGGTTTTACATAAAACTAGGATTGCAACTAATGATTTCCATAATCAACTGACTGTTACACTACTGCTATGATTAATTGCTGCAGCTTGTAGTGTCAGTTATAAAATATTTGACAATATTCATTGTATTAATTATTATATATATTATACTCCTTTTGCACAATGCTCTTTCAAACATCAAATACCTACCCTAGCTTCTTATTCATATCTCAAAAAAATATTTGAATATATGATCATAGGCCTAAATGTATCCTATCCTGCAATGCCCTAAAAAAGTAATAGTTTATTTAATGTGAAATGTGCAGAAACAATAAAGTAACAAAGCATAAACAGCACATACATGACAGTTCAAGTGCTACTATGGAGGTGTTTTGATTCTACAAGAACTGTGGATTTCTATTCAAAACATTTCTCCTGTGATGATAAAGCGATACTGATAATGATAGTGAACAGGAGAGTGAGAAAACATCCATATCCGGGCGGACAAGCAGGTGTGCACCGCTAAAAATGATATCTTATCAAACAAAATCATTCTAGTCAATATATCTAATATTTTTCAATATGTGATTGTTGTAAGAATATTATAAGATTAATATATTTCTAGATATTTTACTTCTACTTACAAATAATTCTCTTTTTTTTATAAAATAAGCAAAATTGTCTGCATTATTTCTCAAAACAAGTAACATTTTCTCCCATTGGAACAGGAAACTAGAAACAAAATTATTTAAAACAAGAATAAAATGTATAGAAATAAAGTTAATAAAGTTAAAGTTAGTAAATAAGTTAGTAAATAAAGTTAAATCATCTTATGATATTCTTACAACAGTATCGTAATGAGAAACATTAAATACATTGACTAAATTTGAGAGGTTTTCATTTGCTGAGATATTTTTTTTGGGGTGTGTGCAATCCTGATAACAGATCAGTATAACCCAGCCGTGCACTATAGACGAAAATGCAGCTCATCTCATCAGCCAGCTGTGACAATGACACTACTGTAAGTTTTACTGTAAGTCTATCAGTTCACAACAGTCGCGCTGTGTGACAGGTGAGCTCTGCTGCATGCAATTCACAGGAAACCTTCTTTTCAGATTACATTAAAGTAAAGACTTTTTGGGTTGTGTAGTGTCTACAGGCTGTGTTTTCTCTCTTTGAGTCAAGTGACGTAAATGAGGAGGACAAACCTTCATCAAGCCAATGAATCAAAAACAAGATTTGCTGGCAACTTTTTTTTTTATCAACGTTATTGATAATGTCAATCAGTTGTTGCAGCCCTATGTAAAACTGCTTTGAAGGTTACAACACAGCCAGCACTGACTCACTGTACTCTTTTAATTAAAATGAAAACCTTTAATTATTGTTCACCTGCACACCTTCTGAGCTCTAAGGTAGAAATGTAACAGACACATGCACATATGCTCAATAGTGTAAAAATAATATTGCATAAATCAAATTGGAACTTTTGATTAAGCAAATGTTGATCGAGGTTAACTGTCATGCATTTCCTGAATAACATCGATCTTAAATGCCAAAATATTCTTACAAACAAAATAACAGAATGACCAAACAACATGTACTTGAAACCAGTGGCAAATGGTGACTATTAAAGCTAGGCTTTACATTTGAGCCATACGCGTCAAAGTTCAGTTAGACTATGTCTCATACTCACCGTCAGTGACGTATCTAGAACTTCCAGATGGCCTAGAGTTGCATCTCTTCTCACAAAATCCCTCCAAATCATTGTAAATCAAACAGCGAGTGGTTGTTAGGTTGGTTAATATGTTGGTATGTTGGTAGTTAATTACTCATAAATAATGCCCAGATAAAACCTCTATTTCTAAGGTAGGCCTGTCCAAATTAAGACCACAATAGCAGCCGTACCCGGAGCATCATTAAATTGATGAGAGGTCAAAAATAAAACATTCTCTTATCAGAAATAGTCTCCTCTAAACACACTATAAAACGTATTGGGTTTCTTCGATGGATTGCAAAAGACCCCCAGTGCCCAGAACAGACCAGCTACCAGTGGGGCAGGAGTTGGGCAAGAGCTATTTAATCATATTAAAAATAGCTGGATCATATTTCAGAGGAATAGCAGTGCTCTAACTTAATATATCACGTTCATAACAACTGAATCTGCCTCCTAGAGCAGCACAGACGACCAACAGAGGCCTTCAAAAGGACTGGACAATAAACCAAAGTCTCAAAGTTATTATCTATTATAATGATCTCCGTACACAAGCATCCTCACTGGTAAACCAGCAAAATCTCAGATGTGATATGGTGGAAATATAAATAATGCTGGTGGATAACAAATATACTGTTACATACAGTATATACATCCTGCGTAGTAACAATTATAATTATAATAATTCCCAATAATTAGATGTTATTTTATGTGTGGTTGATTTTTATGTACAAAAAACTTATTTTGCACTTTGTAGCTATGTAAAAGTGAACAATACATCAGTATTTATGTATACATATAATAACAATGTATAAATAACGAAACTAGAAAAGTGCATTTAGTGAAGAAAATGCAGAGTGATTGTGCAGCATGAGGGATTCCCTGATACTGCTTTATCTACTCACTGGTATTGTGTTGATGGATGGTTGCTAGGGTGTTTCAGGTGGTTGTTAGGCAGTTGTTAGGTGGTTGCTAGGGTACTGCTATTATGCCATCTCAGGTGGTTGCTTAGGTGTGGCTAGGTTATTCCTGTGGAACTGAAGCTGGTTACTAGGGTGTTGTTAAGTGGTATCTGGCTGTTGCTAGGGGTTTGCTAGATGGTTGCTATGGTACTCCTAGTAGTTACTACGGTGTTGGCAAGTGGTTGCAATGATATTTCTAGTTGTTGCTTTGGTATTAGAGATGATTGCAAGGTTATTGCTAGGCAGTTATTATAGTATCTTTAAAGGTTGCTAGGTGGTTGTGATGGTGTTCCAGGTGGTTGCTAGGATATTGCCAGGTGGATGCTATGACATTCCAGGTTGTTGCTAGAGTGTTGCTAGTGTCCCTTTTTATTGTGACACTGGGGGGGAAGAGGGGTGTACAATGTTTTTCACAACCATTTTTTGAGCATTCCAGCATTCATTCCTAAGGGAAAAACATCAGATTTGAACGGTTGCTATGTGGAAACCGAACAACCAATGAAGAAGCTGCAGACAAGCTGTCAGACTGAAGATTCTGAAGTTATTTTTTTGTCGATATCCTAAAACTGCAGGAGTTAGTGGACAAAAATCTGGTAAAAAATAGTAATAAATAATAATAATAGAAGTACAAATTGGAACACAACAGTGTTGTGTATTGTCCAAGCAATAATTAATGAATTAATGTCTGGTGACTTGAACTTTTTAAAATATTTGAATTCCAGCCTCTACAAACAAATGACCACAAACTGAACGGCGCCACTCTTGCAAAGCTGAATTTATTCGACTTGACTTAAAAGCTTAACTTATTTAATTTAATGTGATTTAATCAGATTTAGCTGGATCTAAGCATTCTGTGAACTTCTTTGAGCAGGGAATGGAAAGAGTCAGTGAGAGTCTGAGAGACAGAGAGAAAAAAACACCGAGAGAAAGAGAGAGAGAGAGAGAGAGAGAGAGAGAGAGAGAGAGAGAGAGAGAGAGAGAGAGAGAGAGAGAGAGAAAGAGAGAGAGAGAGAGAGAAACAGAGAGAGATAGTGACATTAATCTGTCTACTCATAATCTGTGAGAGCTCATAAAGAACAGGTGCTGCTGGAGGAAAAAGAGCAGCGAGATACGATTTTTCTGTTCAAATAAAACACAGCACAATCCTGCAATACATACCAAACAACTCAAACTCCTCCAACCAAAGCAGAAGTGACAGTTAAGAGTCCAGCCACACCCAAACGCTTTGATCAGACACTAGATGCCACAAGCAAGGCCAGTATTTAAATATATAATGAGTAAATGGGCAAAGCTTCTCAGCTGTCTGCCAGCTAAATGAGCTCTAAGTCACTGAGTCTAGACTCAAGCGTGCGGTGTGGCACTGTGATGGGGGGCTTCCAACTTGGGGCTTTCTTTTACGATACCAGGACAGGAACAACAAACAGTGGACAGCAGCAGGTCGCCGGGGGGGAAAGTGCTTGGTCAAATCAGCACAGAGAAACACAAGAAAGCCAGTGTGTGCACGGTCATGCACTTCAAGAATGAGGCGCCAGAAAGACTTTTCTTCAAACTGTGATAAAATGATAAAGAAGCTTTTGATAAAATTAATAACTCAAGATGACTCAAAATGTGAAGATCAAAAAGGACTCGTGAAGAATTCACTAGCCGAAGTATTCACTATCAAGTAATGCGCATATCCGCAATAAATAAGCAAAGCTGATGAAGTACAAAAACAAGTACTGAAAATGACAAAATATGACAAAAATAAATAAATCCAAAGACACCCAAACAGAAAATCAATAGGAATGGGTAGAACGGGAAAAAATATTCCAAAAAATAAAAAAGTTTCATATTTAAAACTGTGCAAAAGTCAGAGACCACCCATCATTTACTTAGTTTCTATGCAAAACAGCCACTAAGTGCAAGTTATTAATTTTTTAGAAGACGTTTCTGAGGACATAAGATCATCTTTCCTCATGCGGGTAGATTAAGTCAAAGGAAAATAAGCCAAAACACAAAATAAGTTT